CTCACCTGGGTCAGAGGTCTCACCTGGGACACGCCCGGGGCAAGTGACACCTCACCTGGTCAGGGGTCACACTTGGGACACGCCCCAGGCAGGTGGCACACCCCGGGCACACCTGGGGCAGGTGAGACCTCACCTGGATAAGAGGTCACACCTGGGACATGCCTGGGGCAGGTGACGTCTCACCTGGGGTCACAGGTGACACTCCTGGATCAGGGGTCACACCTGGGACACGCCCGGAGCAGGTGATGCCTCACCTGGGTCGGGGTCACACGTGGGACACGCCCTGGGCTGGTGACACACCCTGGGCACACCTGGGGCGGGTGACACCTCACCTGGGGTCACAGGTGACACACCTGGCTCAGGGGTCACACCTGGGACACACTTGGGGCAGGTGACGCCTCACCTGGCTCAGGGGTCACAGCTGGGACACGCCCGGGGCAGGTGACACCTCACCTGGCTCAGGGGTCACAGCTGGGACACACTTGGGGCAGGTGACACCTCACCTGGCTCAGGGGTCACACCTGGGACACGCCCCAGGCTGGGTGACACACCCCAGGCACACCTGGGGCAGGTGACACCTCACCTGGCTCAGAGGTCACACCTGGGTCAGAGGTCACACCTGGGACATGCCCGGGGCAGGTGACACACCTCGGGCACACCTGGGGCAGGTGACGCCTCACCTGGCTCAGGGGTCACACCTGGGACTCACCCGGGGCAGGTGACATCGCACCTGGGGTCACAGGTGACACTCCTGGGTCAGGGGTCACACCTGGGACACGCCCTGGGCAGGTGACACCTCACCTGGGGTCACAGGTGACACCTCACCTGGGTCAGGGGTCACACCTGGGTCAGGGCTCATGCTTGGGACACGCCCTGGGCAGGTGTCACACCTGGGTCAGGGGTCACGCCTGAGACACACCTGTGACCTTTGGGTGACCCTGGAGACCTGTGGTGACCCCTGTGACCTTTGGGGACCCCCGGTGACCTTCGTGACCCCCGGGGCCACCCACATAACCTTTGACCCCTCCTCCCCTTCCCCTCCCGCGCAAGTTTTGGGGGCAAAACCGGGCACTTTTGGTTTTTTTGCGTTTCTGCTCCGTTTTGGCTCCGTTTGGATAAAAAAAGACTCAAAAACCTCTCAAATTGTCGTGAATTTTTTCGGGGGGAGGAGCCAAAAACTGACATCCCCCTCCCCCCGCCAAACCAAGATGGCGGCGCCCAGAGCCCAAGATGGCGGCGCCCACGCCGGAAGTCGCGTCGCCCACACCGGAAAAGCAGCGGATTTGACCACGCCCCTCCCTCGGGTTAAGCCACGCTTAGCCACAGCCAAGTCTCGCGAGAGTTCGGAAGCAGGGTGTGTGGGTGGAGTCTCGCGAGAGAAGCGATAAAATCTCGCGAGACTCGGCGTGGCGGGAAGAGGGAGCTGAGGGAAGAAGGAGGGGATGGGGGTGTGTGTGGGGGACCGAGATCTCGCGAGAGCGGCCATTGGCGTTAATTGCGATCTCGCGAGAACTCGTCGCGGCGTGGGGGGGGGGAGTGAGATCTCGCGAGATCGCAACGAATGCCAATGGGCGATCTCGCGAGATTTGCCGTGGCGGGAGGGAGGGAAGGGCGGGGAGCTGAGGGGGAGGAGGAGGAGGAAATGGATGTGCGAGATCTCGCGAGATCTGCGATTGCCGATGACTGCGGTCTCGCGAGAACTCGCCGCGGCGGGAAGGAGGAGCTGAGGGAGGCAGGGAGGGGTGCGAGGGAGGAGGGGGCGTGTTGGGCGAGATCTCGCGAGAGCGCCCATTGACATCTATTGCGATCACGCGAGAACT